CCTCTGTTGGAGTATAATAATAATTAAATGTGTTGATAAAGTGTAATTATTGAATTATATCAACGAGAATGAGAAAAATAAAAAATAAAAAAAAATTAAGAAAAAGAAAAAAATATAGAAACAATAGAGACAAAGTAAGAAAACATTTAGCATGCGGCAACAAGGAAGCGTAGTCACAGTAAAATAGCGAGAAATAGATGTATGGATACTGCATAGCGTATGGGAAAATAGATATCTGTAAAGAGAGTGCCACACTCGCAACTGAAAATAAGCACACGGTTCTTGAATGGTATAATGCATTGGGTCGTATCATTTTCGAGTAAACCACCTTCTGGGTACGTATATGTGCATGAGCGTAGATATAGGAAAACAGAAACATAGATAGAACGTTAACAAAGACAAGACAGCCAAACGCTCTCTTTTTTCGCCTCTCACTTTCTCTACTGCGGTTCTTAAAGATGTCAAAAACAAGAATATACCCGCTGGAATAGAAAAGGATATACGAAATAAGAAAACATTACGGTGGCATGTATCACCAAGCATACGAATACGAGGTAGTGCAAATAGTACGCGTAGCGGTGAGAGGTGCACCTCTGGCAACTTACAATATGCAACGTCCTCTCGCACAAGAGGAGGGAAAAACAAAATTAAATTAAATTATGTATACATACATAAATCTAAGTCACGTTTGTTTATTTTTTTTAGTTACCATATTTACGAATAAAAAAAAAGCATTATCTAAAAATATCTAATAGCATCCTAGCGCTGCCAATTGTAACAATAATACTGATGAGAACATTAAAATAATAATTAAACCAACAGTAGGAGAATAAGTTTTACTATATAAAACATTATTACATACTGCAATACCATATTCAATAAAATGGAATATCAATAACTTGAACTAGAATTTAGTAGTTGCAATAAGCCCTAAGCCTAAGTAGTAACCATTAACTGTTAAATTGAGAAGAAGAAAACAATAAGTGTTTACACAAAAAGAGAACAACTTAGCGAATTTGTGTAAAGGAGAAACCAGGACAGGATTTTTTTTGCTCTACACCTTTTTACTCCTATGTTAAAAATCTCACATACAACACAAATAACATTACACGAACATTAGACTAACTCAAACATACAAATTAAGAAGTAAATCGTCATCGAGGATGATAGTGGCGTGGCCTTGGACGCATCATGTACGATATTGTAGCTACACGTACGTGTGCCCCCTCTTTTTGGGCCTACTACAGATGATTGTAGTGGAAGAGAGCAAAGGGCTAAGCAGATAAGATGCTGGAGGGAGGCGCTCTCTGGCTGAAACCGGCAAGGACGGAGGTCGTATACACGCGACGCGCTCTTCTCTCGTTTTTGCATAAATAAAGACGTTGATACTAGTTCCTCGACTATTAACTTCGTGCGCACCCCAAGACCATAAAATCCTACTCAACGATATATTAAATAAGGCAATAATTAAACGCATTGAGAATGTAAGCAAAATAACCAACAGCGGGATAGAGCGTTCTCACAAGGGTAATGCAGACATTCTTTATCAAATTATGTAGATAGCATAACTATTAAGGGAGTGGTGAAAAATATCTGAAGAGGATTAAAAATTATTGAAGCATTACTCAGACTTTGCTGTTAATGAGTTCAAATCGTTTACGTAGGCTTTGAGGTAGGAACCAAATGATTTTACTTAAAATCTACAGCATTTTCTTAAAATAAAAGTTGTATGATACAATATAACTGTTTAATGTTAAGTCGTAACTTGGGACTTAATTTGCTAAATTCATTTAAAGTTCATAACTAGTTTTAAATCTCATTGACGGAGCAGAATCTTGTGAAATGATAAAAATAGTTGAAGAAATACTTTATAGTACATTTAAAGATGCTAACATTGCTTTAGATTGAGTAAGACACGATTTTAAAAAGCATTTAATAATAACTTGTCATACCATGTGTTAAGTTATTTGGGGCAAGAGTTCGTGAAAAAAATTAATTTAAGTTTTATTGGAAATTTTGGAATAAAGAAAAAAAATGCTTTGTTACATCGAACTTTAGTTTACATAAAAAAAATTTTTAAAAGTTTTCAAAAAATACTTCGACTGACGAATCGCTTTTAAAGTCATAATTAGTTATTAAAAAAAGAAGAATCATATCATTAAAAGTGCCAAATAAAAAATAATCTGTTTATGTTTGTTTCATTATTTTTAGCATGGATATAAACTTATCAGCAAATAAGGTTATACCTACAACATTATACGATAAGGTTATATTTTACAACAAATATACTTTCTTTTGAAAAAATAAAATTCTAAATCATGGAAGAAAAGTGAAAGCATGTTACATAGCAGATTATGCCACTTGGAGATTGAGTTTAATCTAAGCAAGTACTGTGTAGATCACTGCTTCCAAAACCCTTATTTTTGAGCTTGGATTAGCTGCCAGTCAGCGAGTGAGCCTTGCTGGAGGTAAATCCAACAAGCACGGTTCTGGTGGTGAGTTTAGCGCCAATCCTACAAAGAAGTGTCCTGGAGTAAGCGTGTCTAAATCCTCTTGATCATTGGTAAGTGGTTCTAGTGGTCTAGAGTTAAGTTTCGCTTTGATTTGAGTGAGCAACGTCGTGATCTCTTCAAGCGTGTAAAGAGTCTCTCCCATAGTCCGATGGAGATGGTGTTTCATCGACTTCACTACTGCCTCCCATTTTTCTCCCATGTGAGGAGCAGCTGGAGGGTTGAAATACCATGACGTTCCATCTTGGGCGAGCATGGCTGATAGATGAGAATTTTGACTGATTGCTTCTGAGTATAACTGTTGAAGAGCCCTGTCTGCACTAACGAAGTTCGTCCCACAATCAGAAAACAACTTAAATGGACGTCCCCGACGTGAGACAAATCGCCAATACGCTGACAAGAATCATTCAGTAGAGTAATCTGTCACTGCTTCGAGATGCACAGCAGAGGTCGAAAAACACACGAACACACAAATCCAACCCTTGTATGTCTTCGACCCTCTGCCGCGCCAAGATTTGAGATGTATCGGACCTGCGTAGTCGATACCTGTGTGAGCAAACGGTTTGGAGGGAGTCACCTTGGCCTCGGGTAACTGTCCCATGAGTTGTTGTGCTCTTTGTGCCTGGTACCTGGCACATTTGACACAGTAGAGGATTCTGGATCGGATGGGGGCCCTTCCACCGATTATCCAAAACTCTTGACGAGTTTTGCTAAGAGTAAGCTGAGTTCCTCCGTGTAGAGTTTGTCGATGAGCCTGATCGATAACCAAACTGGTGAATTGAGCTTGACGAGGAAGTAGGGCAGGATGTTTTGCATCAGGTCTGAGCTTGACATTCATGAGTCTGCCTCCCACACGCAGTATGCCAGCATCATCAGTATATGCCATTAACTGGTGGAAAACATGGCCCTTTGGGAGAAAACCTGATTTGAGCATCCTAATTTCCTCCTTGAAACATTCCTGTTGAGTTGATCTGATGAGTAAGAGCTTAGCTTGAGTGATGAGTTCTGCAGTGACAGCTACGGATGATTCCTGGTGTGTGAGTAAGGCTTTGAACTTGGCACAAGCAAGTAAGACGGTGGCTGAGATACGATAGAGTTTGTGCAATGTGGAGCTGGACTGAGTGAGCCTGAGTAGGAACTCCGAGTCTGAGACTGATGACACCAATGCTGACATCTGACGCGCCTCTGTCTCATCCTCCACCTCGACGTCACTCGGCTGCAGAGGCCAACCATCCTGGGGT